AACAGTTGATAATCGCGCTCTTCGGCCGAGTCGAGTTCGAGAACAACGGTGCGAACTGCGACGCGATCCATAGCGACACCAACCCGTGGGCCCAGAAGTTCCTTGAGGACATCCAGCACGCCTGCGAGGTTTCGGAGGGTTTCCAGAGCGTCTTGGGAGAGGGCAATAACTTGACGATAGACAAGCTCTTCACGCTAGACATTAGAGGACAACTCGTATTTCTGGATCCGCGGGAAGTCCGAGCAGCTAAGCGAACTGTACCAGTGCCGCCCGTACAGCACGACCATAACGATGAACAACGAGAAAACATAGCGTTGGACGAACAAAAGGTATGGAACTGCGAACTGCACAGCTCCGACGATGTGTCCGACAGCAGCCTCCGCGGACAGATCGCCAATCCGACGGCATGTGGCATGTTATCTGCAAGCAAGAAGGCTTTGCACAGTCATATCATACGAGCTCACCGTGTACATAACCTAGCAGCAGCCTTGACAAGGAATAACGAGTGCATCAATTGCGGGCAGGTATGTACTAGCAAGGGCACGGCCTGGACACATCCAGCGCGCAGTATGATCAGAGGAGGCTGTACTCGCGACACTACAAAGAATCAGTACCAGCCGACACCCCTCGATCCGAAATGCCCGATCTGTAGTCAGTTTGCCTTGGACAAACACAGCTGCCAAAGACATCTCCTCACACATATACCGAGGAAGCTACTTCAACAAGACAGAGATGTCGCTATTCGACGAACGACCTGGAGGGCAAGCGGCGCTGCCGAGACCAGCGGGAGGCCGACCAGACCGCAGCCGCGGACGCCAGGGACAAGCACAACGAGGAGGAGGATCACCAGCCCCCGCAGGACAACAACAACAACAGATGATCGACTTGACGGCCAGGCTGACCCTCACACTCGCACGAAAACAAGCCGAACTAGCTGCCGCAGTGCTACAGACATGGGAGATAAGCACGGAGGCCAGTATCGCTTCCTCGGGGCTCGACGCGGACAAGGCGTACAACGACATGGCGCAGGACCTGAACCGGCGAGCCAAGAACGGAGAGCAAGTGGACACCGCGGCCCTGGGGAGCCCGCACGTGAAGGTGTGGACCGAGGTGTGCGCGTACATGGGCAAGGCGCTCGAGGAGGGCGCGGCCAGAACGGTCCTGGAACAGTAATACCGCGACAAAATCCAGGGGGAGCGGCCGAAGTCATCGGAGATTCAGTTCCAGTATTCCGCGTCAGGCGCAACAGGGGCAAGGACGGACAGGGCAAAGAGAAATGCAGATTCCAATTCACGTTCAACCCGAACGACCATCAGATCGCGACGATCCTGATCAACCAGCTGAAGAAGGAGGGAACAACACGCAGAGTGGGAAACGGCACCGCGCGGGGCTCTGGAGAGGGAGCTGGGCCGCCTGGTCAACGGCTGAGAGGAGATGGAGAGGGCCAACATCAGATAGGCTTACGCCAAATCCAAAGTGAGAGGTTGCCCTGCACAGTGCCCAGAGCTTTTGAGACCAGCGTGCGATTCAGAGAGCTCGCGGCCAGAGGTAGCATCACTCCTCCTCCTCCTCAGAACGCTCCTGAGATTTTCCAGTTCAGAGGCCAGGGTTTTCCAGACTACTTTTTGATGCGCCGCCCCCCCCCCCCCCCCCCCCGCCAGAACCCAAACAAAAAGGTCGAGGCAAGGGGGGACGAGCCCAAGGTAAAAACCAGGGACAGCAGGCGAGTTAGGTGTTCCGCAAGGGGCGGGTGCCACCCCGCCTTTCCGCCTCTGCGTGGGGCTTCAGGTGCGGGTCGGGCCCGAGCGCTGATTGGCGCCTGCTCACCCAGCGTGCGAAACGAACACAGCTAGGACGACTCGACAGTAATTTTATGAAGCTGCCCACTGGCACACGGCGGCGAACCTCGTCCCCACGGCTCGATCGATCCTCCTCCTCCTCCTACACCCCTCCTTGGTGCATCCCATGTTCTAGTAGAGCACCCATCCCCAAAGAACACAACGTGTTGAAGGCAAAAGCGCGCGCAAGCAAATAAACGGACGCGTACCCACGCAGCACCCCCATGCTGTTGTCATCGTCTAGGTCACTATCATCATCAGACTCACCATCTTCATCAACAACATCGTCATCATCGTAATCATCAGCATCAGCATCAGCATCGCCATCGTCATCGGCATCGTCATCATCGTCATCATCATCAGCATCATCAGCTTCATCATCGTCATGATAATGATCATGATCATGATGATGCTGATACTCATCAACACCATCATCTTCTTTATCATCAGCAGCATGAGCAGCATCCTCATTAGCAACAGCATCAGCATCAGCATCAATCAGCATCCTCATCATCATCATCATCAGCATCATCATCATCATTATCGGCAGCAGCAGCAACAACATCATCATCGCCACAACCACCGCCGCCACCACCACCGTCCTCATCGCCGTCATCGCAAAAGTCATCGCCAACATCATCATCATCATCATCATCATCATCATCATCAGCATCATCATCATCATCAGCAGCATCATCATCATCACCATCGGCATCAGCAACAACAACATGATCATCAGCAAAATCAGCATTAGCATCATCATTGGCATCATCATCATCACCAGCAGCATACGCCATGGGAACAGCATCAGCAGCATCAACACCATCTTAATCTCAACCGCCAACACATCATCAGCATCATCATCACCAGCATCATCATCACCATCATCATCACCATCATCATCAGCATCAGCATCATAATCATCATCAGCATCATCATCATCATCAGCATCAGCATCAGCACCACCATCGCCATCGCCATCACAAGCAATATCACCATCACCATCACCATCATCAGCATCATCAACAGCATCATAAGCATCATAAGGATTAGCATCAGCATCAGCATCATCATCAGCAGCAGCATCATCAGCATCAACATCATCATCATCATCATGATCGCCATCATCATCATCGTCATCGTCATCATCAGTAGCAATATCATCATAATCACCATCATCATAATCACCATCATCACCTTCATCATCATCATCATCATCATCATCATCATAATCATCATCATCATCATCATCCCCAGCATCATCATCACCATCATCATCAGCATCAGGATCATCAGCATCACCATCAGCACCACCATCAACATCACCATCGCCATCGCCAACACTATCACTGTCACCATCACCATCATCAGCATCATCATCGCTAACATCAGAATCACCATAAGGATCAGCATCAGCATCAGCATCATCACCATCAGCATCATCATCAGCATCAGCATCATCACCATCAGCATCATCATCATCATGATCATCATCATCGTCATCATCAGTAGCAAGATCATCACCTTCATCATTATCATCATAGTCATCGTCATCATCATCATTGCCATCGTAATCGTCATCGTAATCGTCATCATCGCCATCAGCATCACCATCATCACCAACACCATCATCTTCATCATCATCATCATCACAATATGAATCATAATCAGAATCATCATCATAATCATCAACATCATCACCGTCATCATCCGAATCATCATCATAATTATCGTCATCGTCATTGTCTTCATCGGCATCGCCATCGTCATCGACATCGTCGTCGCTTAGCTACATAATGTATCACATGTATTACACCTCTTGTTTCTCCGCCTCCCCCCGTCTCCTCCTCCTCCTCCTTCTACACTCCCTCCTTCTCATCCAACTCTGCCTCCTTCTCCTACTCCTGCTCCTCCTTCTCCTCCTGCTGCATCGTCGCTACAAACTGTTGGGCGGACGAATCATTAGTAATGCTGGCTGCTGCCACCACCACGGGAGAACGCGCAGCGACGAAGGCGAGAAGAGCAAATGGCGTCGCGCGAGGCACTTCTTGATGTAGTCCGTGCGCTTCGGGCCGCCTGGGCGGCGCGGAAAGGGGAACAGGACGAGGAACAGGCAGACGGAAAAGGAGAGGGAGCGGGGGAAGAGGGAGAAAAGAATCGACACAAAGATGGAGGACGTCGAAGATCCTCCTCAGTCCTCCACCACCTCTCCACCCGTCACCTCCCTCCGCTCTCTTACCCTGCATCCGGCGGAGCTCGCACGCGCGCGCGCCCATCCGCCTCTTCCCGGTTTCCCCCTGAACAGCAAGAAATGACAACGATTCTGAGAGTAGTTGTGCACCCAGTCTTTCGACGTGCGTGACCCCCCTGTGCTCCTCATCCCCGTCCTCATATTCCTCCTCATCATGCTCTTCCTCCTCCTGCTCCTCATCATCATCATCCTCCTCCCTCCTCCTCCTCCTCCTCCTCCTCCACCTCTTCTTCTTGTCCTGATGAAGGCGGAGGGTTGAAGCCCCGGTGGGATTGGGCAGAGATTCAGCGGGATGGAGACGGCGGCGACGAGGACCCCCCAGACCACAAGCCACGCAGAGAGGACGAGCCCAAAGCCCAAGCATCCACCCAAGAGGGGGGACACAAGGGAGGAAGAGAGAAGAAGAGGAGGAGGAGGGCCCGCAGAGGGGGAGCTCGGGCTCAGGGTGTCCATGGCAAAGTGCTGGGCCCACCAGGGCCGAGCGGGGGCCAGACACAGGATTTGCGAGGCGCGACCAGTTGCCTATGTCAACCAATCTACACAGCTACCTGGTTGATGTGTGTGCAAAAGCTTCAAGCATGTGTCGAATAGTTTCCTCTCGAATTGTGTCTGGCTGACAGGGTACACATTGCAAAATGCGAAATGCTACGCTGAGACATGGTACACGCTACACATCAACACGTCAGACAAAAAAACAACTACGCAGCTGCACTCACGGCGCAACTGCTGCAATCAGACGGCTCGCGCCAATCCTGGCACACGCTATGGCTCACTGCACTACCATTTGACTGACAATTGCCAAGTGCTGGCAATGTGCTCGCAACAACTGTGCCCCAGCGCCTTGATCTTGGCTACGAATGGCAAGAACATGCTGTGCAACACCTCATGGTGTGGTAGGGGATCGGCTCTCC